CATAGTTGACACTAGATTTCAACAAAGGTAATATTTTCATTAAAAAAAAATTGGTTAAAGCAAGCAGATTATAAGCAGGTGGCTTTACTAGTAAAAGAAATAAGGAGTTAGCTATTCAGGGAAATATTTCATCCACCAATTCATGCAATCTGCGACAGAGAAGTATGCCTTAACTGTCCTGTAAGTTCGAAAAAAGGACTGCAAGAAAAAGGCTTAGAAATTCTTCTATTCTTTTTGCTCTAACTCCTTTAGGCTAAATGACTTAGAACATAGAAAAAGAGGAGAGAACACCCTAGAGTCCCCTTCACATGCGGCTCGCTGCACCTAGAAATAGTTATAGATTGCTTGCAGCTCTCTTTTTCCATCTCCCTCCCTTTAAGGTGTTTATTGGAAGGGGCAGAGGAATGGTGGTGCATGGTTGGTTGAGTCCAGTGGGCCTTTTTGTTCCCAGGAAATATGTTTAATCACTGGCATTGTCGAGGTGGCCGCTTGCATCGGCAGAAAAATGGCAACTGAGTTATGGAAGCACAAAGGAACACCAAAAATAAGTCCTAAAGAAGTGACAAGAAAATATGGTTACCTATAGGGGAAAAAGAAAGTGACGGAAAGGGAAAATTTGTTGGCAACTTTTGTATGGGAATTGCTCACTGTGATACGGTTTTGTGGGCTGACAGAATCTTGAAGAAAAGATTTCTTAGTGAAGCAAAAAAGTTTCTTACCTAACAATTTAATACGGGAGAATTTGAGTAATAAGAAAAGTTCAGTATTCTAATTCCTTGGATAAGATTGTGTGAAAAGTTGAAAGCATTGCGTTTATGCTTTGAACTCGGAGAAGATATTTTATTCAATTTGAATTAAGTTTTTTCAGGTTTAATTTCTTGTGGATTTCTATTATAGAACTTTCAAACGGTGAAAACTGTCTACTACGCGATCCCATAAAAAATATAGGAGAAAAAAAATTTTTTAAGCAGTTTTGTAAAATATACCCGGATTGAATTGAACGCAAATTGAAATATAAATGGCTAAGTTCCTTTAAAATAATTATTTCACAGCAGTTTTAATGCTTAGCATAAAATGTAACACATTTGGATACATTTAAGGAATTAAATTTGTTTTGGAACAGTAATTATAGCATGATATGTAGGAGCAGTAATTATAGTATTATATGGAGCAGTAATTATAGCATTGTATCATAACACGCTTGTGCATATTATGATATAATAGCATTATCATTGTATTAATGTTATAAATTTTTTAGTCACAAACCCGTGTTTGTGACGCAAGACAAGCGTCAAATCAGGCTCAATTCCCCTAGAGCGTTTATCATGAAAAATGCTTATCATCGGTTTCCAAACTTTTTTAAAAGCTATGTTTAAGACCTAATTTTTATTAGATTATTTACAATAGCAAGTATTTGAGCCGTGGTGGCTCAGGGGGTAGAGCTTTCGCCTTCCAATGAGGTGAACCGTTTTCGAATCTCAGCGATGGCTGGTCAATACGAATTCCACACCTGACCACAGTGCTGACGTAAAATATCCTCATTGGTAGACGGATCATGGGTTAGAGTCTCCTTGCCATCTGGCTAATCGTGGGAGGTGTTTGTATTATTCCTCTTCATACGCAAATGCTGGTTAGTTCTATCAAAAAGTTCTCCACGAAGGCAAATTTCTCCCAAAACTTGATCCCTTGTCTTCTGGATTGGGTTCGAAATTACAAGATTACGAAGTTGAAAATTAGTAGCCGTAAACCTAAAACTGGATCTGCTGTACAACGACGGTTATAAAATAAAATAATAAGTATTTAAAGGACACGTTTGTTAAAAGGGATTTGTAATAATAATTTCCAATGGAATACATTGAGAGATCCTAGTACAAGTACACTACAACTGCTGTAAATCGAACGCTTCCGGATTATTCTTTACTTTTACAAGGAGTATTAGGCTTCCATACTAATCAATATTACGAACACAAATCAGAGTATACACTGGTTTATTATTAACACAACCTTCATCCAACGGAATTTAGTAGAGATACCAAAACAACCCTAAAGACAAATATTCCATTACCAACCATCATTCAGTTCGATTGAAACAAAGCAACAGCGCTGCCATATAAATTTCGACTAACTTCGAACAAAACATGTTCCTTTTCAATAATTGAATCCTTCACTATGGCAGGAACATCAGTTCAATCAGAAAAATCAATAGCATTCTTTAGAAACAAAACGAGGAGCACCTGTGTCTTCCCAATCCATGGTTGCCAATCTACAATCTCCATTTAGAAGACCTTCCCCGCCATACATCTCTATTATCATGAAAAACAAGAATGGTGGACATTTAATAGAAAGATGGGCAATTAACGGAAGAAAAACTTTCTTTTTCAGCGAACATTTCTTTGGTGAAGCCTAATGCTTTGGAAGTAATACGAAGGGTTTTTTCTTACCCTAACATAAAAAAAAAAATAAAAAAATAAAAAAAAGATTTTTTTTATTGACAGCCTACTTATTAAAGGGTAGCATGTAACAACATGTCAGTATTTAATAAAACAAGTTGATTCTTTTTTTAAGAAATTTCAATTTTATCATATTACACAATGCTTTCTACTTCAGCTTTTTTTAGAACCTCTGTTCAACATCAGTGTTCTTCAACCTAGTTTACTTGAAGAACCGATTAAATATTTCAGAGTTTTATCGCGAATCGGTAAAGGTCAGTAATTGAGAATGTTAGCATAATTCTTGCAAATATAAATGTGCGGCCTTTAAAAATTTTTGACAAGTTTGCTTCTGATCATTCAAATACTCTCTGCAATGAAAAATATTTTGAGCCCTACATCTATTTAAATGTAAATATAATTTATATTAATTCTAATATCAATATTAATTCTAAAATCAATATTAATTCTAATATCAATATTAATTCTAATATCATTATTAAACCTTAGATCGGTGATAGAGGAACAGTGTTCTAAATCATTGTTTAACAACGCCGGTTCAGGAAAGTGTTAAGAATTGTGAATGCATTACAGTAATACCAAAATCTTAAATCGATAACGTACACAAAAATCAAAATAATCAATTTGCATGTTTTTATTTGTTTGTTGCACCGTCAATTCTTCCGAAAATATTATTTTAACTATTTTTATTAACCGTGTTTCGATTTTCATCTACTTCAAAAGCTTGCATACTCTGCTGGTATCTTTTTTGGATTAAGAAAAAAACAAAATGAAAACAAATTATGAGAAAATAACAAAGGATAACTTGATGGGAAAGTTGTCTTTCAATGATTTGTTTGCAATTGGACATTTTGATTTTTTTTTTTCTTTTTCACAATTGAAACTTTGTGGCTAACTCTATGTTTGCCAAAACTCACTTTTTCTCTACTTTTTAATTTTAAAATAGCTATGTGGGTGAAACAGAATGCGCGGTGAAAAGTTTCTCCTTCCGTATACCATCCTCTTCGAATACGTAACTAACGCTGGTAACTGCTCTGTTCGGTAAGCTATACCAGAAAAACATTTTACAGGATGAGCAAACATACTCAGATTTAGCAGAGCGTCATTTGAACTAAGATCCAGCCCATGCGCATAAGAAGCAAAGTGACATTCAGGAAGTACGTCACCTATGAACCCTACATGCATGGTGGGTATGTCGCTTCCCGCCATGACATTTATTATTTCTTTATATGTCAAAAAGTGTTAGCAGATTTAATTAACATGGATGATATTTTCGAAGAAAAAATCCTAATAGTACAGTACTGTTTATCAATAGTGTAAAAATACAGAACAAACCAGTGATTAAAAAAAAACCCCAACAGTTCTTCATTTCAATATTGGTTAGGAGGAGAGGAGGGTGCAAACAAGTTTCAATTGTTATGCTCCTAAATGTTGTTTTTTCCTTTATACACAAGAACTACACCTGACTATGGGGGAGTAGTTTACATTATGCCAATGAAAGCTAGAGTTCTTCCTCTATGTATATTCTTTACTCCTAACCTTCACGATCCCCCCTGGCCTACAACGAGCTGTAGCGCGAATGCTCTACTTTTTTCCTCAGCATATTAAACTAGGTGAAATGATAAACCTACCTTATAAATTGTAAAACTAGAAGAGTAATCAGCAGAAATAACATAGTGACAGCACATCCTATATAAATTATCATCCTTAAAGTTTCTTGATCTGTTGCCAGAGGTTGCTCCTAAATGAAACGAAATAACAATTAATGACACACAACGAAAGGAACTACATCAAATATNTCTGCAATGAAAAATATTTTGAGCCCTACACCTATTTAAATGTAAATATAATTTATATTAATTCTAATATCAATATTAATTCTAATATCAATATTAATTCTAATATCATTATTAATCCCCAAACCAATGGTAGAGAAACAAGTGTTCTAAATCATTGTTTAACAACGGTTCAGGAAATCGTTAAGAATCGCGAATATATTACAGTAATACCAAAATCTTAAATCTATAACGTAAATAAAATGCGAAATAATACATTTACATGCTTTAATTCGTTTGTTACACTGTCGAAAATGTTATTTTAACTACTTTCATTAACCGTGTTTCGTTATTCATCGACTTCAAAAGGTTGCAAACTTTGCTGGTATCTTTTTTGGATTAAGAAAAAAATAAAATAAAAACAAATTATGAGGGAATAACATAGGATAACGTAAGGGAAAAGTTCTCTTTCAATGATTTGTCTGCAATTTAACATTTTGAATTCGTTTCTCAGCAATTGGAATTTTGTGGCTAGCTCTATGTTTGCCTAAACTCACTTTTCTCTACTTCTTAATTTTAAATTAATTATGTAGGTGAAACAGAATGTGCGGTGAAAAGTTTCTCCTATTAACCAAAGAATATAGAAAGGAGAAGAAGTTCAGCTCTTAGAATACGTAACTAACCTTCAAGATCCCCCCTGGCCCAGAACGAGCTGTAGCGCGAATGCTCTACTTTTTTCCTCAGCATATTAAACTAGGTGAAATGATAAACCTACCTTATAAATTGTAAAACTAGAAGAGTAATCAGCAGAAATAACATAGTGACAGCACATCCTATATAAATTATCATCCTTAAAGTTTCTTGATCTGTTGCCAGAGGTTGCTCCTAAATGAAACGAAATAACAATTAATGACACACAACGAAAGGAACCGCATCAAATATCAATAATACTGGAAAAAAAATTTAAGTTTATTTAAATACGATGGTCAAATGTAGACACATAAAATATATAGATAAATATATACATATATCTACATAATCTATACCTACGATTATAACATGAAATTATATAACCTATATTATATAAACATGAAAAATTATAAATATATTTGACAGATGAAAAGTTTATATAAGAACATTATATAGGAAAGAAAGAAAAGGAAATTTAAGAATATAGAAAATTTAGATCATCAAATTTAAAAGAAGCAAATTTTGAATCGTTTTCGAAATGTAAAAAATTATGAAAAATATATTTAAAAGAAAGCAAATTTTCCTTAAATCTAAACTAGAAACAATAATAATAATGATAAATGGAAAAAAAAAATTAAAAATCAAAGCTCTAATTTTAAAATGTACAGTGCGGGAAGAAAACGAATTATCCTGAATAAATTTTGATCAAATGATTGGGTTTTTACATACACATCAGATAGAGGGGATAATAATTATAATCCGTAAAAAATAAAAAGTAGGTTTTTCTAGAGAAAGTACTTTCTCGTGCCTGGTTTCATAACTTAAAATATCCTTTGCACAAACTAATTGGCATACTTGAAGTCACTCCCTGGAACTACCGAGTACTAGTGAGTGAAAATTCGATCATTAGATAAAAAGTTATTCAGAGAGAAAACTACTGAATTTAATATTAGTACAGGCAGTGTAATTTGGATACGTGCTGTTTGTCGATAAATTTCCTATACATTTTAAATCTGATTCCTTAAATTCACTAAAATATAACTAAAAGTACTTTTTCCCTCAACGCTCTTGAATTGACAACTCTGAATTAACGAATGCAACTTAAAATGTAATAATAAAGTACATCGGATAGGTTGCTGAAAGTTTTATATAGATTATTTTCAAAACAAAAATAAAACATTTAGAATTGTTTTAGAATAATAATAGAAAATAGCATCGCAGATATGCATCTTAATCATTTCTTTCTTTTTTTTTTTTTTATTTTTTTNTTTTTTTTTTTTTTTTTTTTTTTTTTTTTTTTTTGGAATTAACATTTTGATCCAACTAGCATCAAAATAATATATTTGGTAATACGAGTTTGGTACATCATGCCATACATAAAGAATCTCATATAACACCCATAATAGCACATAAACAAAGCCCATTCCTTTTATTTACAAGCATTTCCCTGAGTCCAAGGCGCAATGCAAACTTTTATAAATAAAGCTCCATAAAGTCAAATGCACCCCTCAATTCAAATGAAAAGGTGAAAGAAAAGGTAGAATATAAAAGGGGAGGACTAAACGATTTTCTCTTCAAAAGATGAGGGAGCATTTTCCAAGAAATTTCGAATTTTCTTCTCGTATTACGGCAAAGATCGGGTAGCCTCTTTCCTATTCTCCAGAGCTATTGACACTTTCCTCTTTATAGAAGAAATGAAGTGTATGGTGGGTAGATGTCATTCCCGACTTCAGGAGTAGCCCCCATAGAAGTATTTTATTCCATGGAGCCCGTAGTGAAAGTTGCAGTTATCTGAAGATGAGAGAAAGTATCGAATTGCAAGAGGAGATTTTGTGAGAATCTCTGATGTGGGGGATTCTTCATATGCGAGTAAAAAGCAAATCAATAGATATTTTTTTCTAGAGAAAATGCCGTTGGTTTCGTAGATTAAAACAGAAAAATAGGGTTTTTATTTACCTATTAAAATAAATATGCTTTTGCCTGCTTTTTTTTCAGCAAATAATGTACAAAAATTAAGAAAAAGCAAACTTTCCGTCGCTTAACTCGATCTCTATAAATCGTAATTAAGTGCTCTAAGTTGTCAAAATATAGCACTTAAGAGCAAAATATAGCACTTCAATTTGGATTTCGGATGTTTCCTTCTAGCTTTTCACAATTATCAATGATTTAGCTTTAAAAAAATTTAAAAGTATTACAATAAAGTAGGAAATGAGGAAAGTTAAAAATTGTAAAGTAAAAAATGAATGAAGAAAGCCGAGCGCTTAATTGCAATACACTGGTGAAATGTAACTATTCTGTTCCGTGATCCTGATCAATACACTGAGAAAATTAACTACAATATTACACTATAATATTCAATAATCTTTGATAAATACACTGAAAAAATTGGAATACTGGTTAATTCCGTAACACGAGTTTTTTTTTTAATTCTCCTCTCAATTCGGCATTCAAAATTATTAGCCATTCTATTCCGTAATACTGACTAATGCACAGAGAAAAATATCTCTTTTATTCCGTAATCTTGCTTAATGTAGAGAAAATTACCTACACTGTTCAGTAATCTAGATTAATGCATTGATAAAATTGAACTATACAATTCTGAAATCATGATCAATGCACTGAGAAAATTAACAATTCTATTCTGTGATCTTTGGTAAATATACGAAGAAAATTACCTAATTAAGAATCCTGGTTAATTCCGTAACACTAGTTTTTTTTTTATTCTCCTCTCAATTCGGTATTCAAAATTATTAGCAATTCTATTCCGTAATACTGACTAATGTACAGAGAAAAATATCTCTTTTATTCCGTAATCTTGCTTAATGTAGAGAAAATTACCTACACAGTTCAGTAATCTAGATTAATGTATTGATAAAATTGAAGTATACAATTCTGAAATCATGATTAATGCACAGAGAAAATTAACAATTCTATTCTGTAATCTTTGGTAAATACACGAAGAAAATTACCGACTAAAGAACCCTGGTTAATTCCGTAACACGAGTTTTTATCTCGATTAAAAAAAACATTTGGTGAACTAACATTCACAATTTTCCTTGAACTTATGTTGCAAAGAAATTGCACTTCCAAAAATAAAAATATGATTTTGCACAAAGAAGAAATTATATTATAGCAGCAAATACACTGTCAAAAAGTAAAGAAGAAAAGGACGAGGACAAGAAAACGTAATATGCAGGACAACATAAAAGTCTTTAAATTTATTGAAAGAAATTTCTTGCATTAACAAAGAGTTTCTAAAACTTACACATTATAAAATGACAATAAAAATCATTTTAAGCATCAGAATTACCAGTTGTGGATCTTCACGTAAAATGAAAGCATTATTACGAACGATATTAAAGAAAACAAAGAGTATAGAATTAAATATAGCGAAAATAAAATGAATATCGTTTGTTGTTATCATAAGCAAGGAAATTACTGCGTTTATATTCCATTAGTTTGATCTCGTAAAGTCATAATCATGTTAAGCATTATTTTTAAAATAACCCTAAATTCGAAAAAATAATGATGTTAAAAAACAGCTTTTGAAATGAAATATCATCAAAGGAAGTATCATCAGTCAAAGGAAAAAAGATCGTCTGACATTTCCTCTATTTTTATGACCTTTTATATTCATTAAACAGAGATGCAAGAGTAGAATGAAACGAATTTAATATCGTCTGCAACAACAAACGTTTCAAGCTAAAACCTACGGCAAAAATAGAATAAATACATAATATATAAAATATTCTTTTTTGAAAATCTATTCAGGAATTCTATGACGACAAAGCACATAAAAATTAAAGCAAATATTAAAATTTTCGTCAACTTGATTCCTAAGGAACAATTGTCCTCATGATGAATGAAATCCCTTCCTTTTCAAAATGGCGCTATTCTTGTCACGTGACTTATCTCTAACCACGTGACCTTGGTGCCAATTTGCAAACCCTAATGGAGGGTGCCATTAAAGTGTCATTAACTCAAGAAAAGCGAGAAGAGTGTGATGACTCCCTCGCTTTATTTTGGAAGTTTTCTTCGTGGTTTACAAGGAAAGCCGCCAACTCGCACAAAAGAACAAGATAAAAAAAAGATGAAAAAATAGTAATTACCCGCTGTGAAAAATCTCCCTTATCCCGACACTAACATGAGATTTTTGCTGCCGTCTTATTTAGTCGTTCATCATAATTTGAAAGCGAGTTCTGTATAGTTGCATTTAAGCACGTCGCATTCGAAAATTTGTCGCGTAATGAAATTGCTTTAGAAATACCTTGGAGAAAATATATTAATATATTCGTTTATCAATAAGCGCAAAAATGAAAAAGAAATGTACTTTTGAAAATAATTAATGTTTAAAAAGATAATTTACTTATTTTTTATGTTTGCTTATCGTCTAAAAAACTAGAATACACGCACAAATTAGAAGATGCATGTACTGTGTTAAGAAACATCTTAATGAAATTTAGAAAATCAGATTTAGTCTGGAAGTCTTAAGTAAAATATAGTTTTAATTAAAACATTCTAATGCATGATTATGATTTATAATAAATAAACAAATTTAAAAAAAAAAATTCTTGAGACCGAAGTGAAAATAATAAAACGTATCTATTTTTGTTTTTGAATGTTTTACGTAATTTTAGAGAAAATTAGATTAATAAAAATAAATTACTAAATTAGGGAGGAAAATAAATAAATAATTAAAAAAAAAAAACAAGCATTTCTTAACTTGCATTTTCTACTTATTCATGCTTAAACTGATTTTTCTGCTTTTAAATTTTATATTTTATTCTGGTAAACTATTCCATAATAATAATGTAAATGAAATAAAATTTTATATTATAGCCTTAGGCTAACTCTAATTTAAATTTAAAACTATATATCATATATTGTGTGAATATAAAAATCGAAAAAAATATTTTCTGATAAAATGTTAACAGAAAGAGTTATTACTTCCCATGTTTAAAATACATTTACTTATTTTTTTAAATATTTTATAGCATTAAATTTAATGATATTTTTCTAGTCAGGTAAGTGAAAAAAATATAAAATACGCAAAAAATAAAAATTTGCAAAAAAAAATAAATAAACAGTTCCAATGAAACGAAATCCCAAAAGGCTTTGGGCGAAAATTACAAATATGATGTAAGATTAGGTGCAAATAAAACAAACTTATGAACTATTCATAGCAAGATGAAATACATGGAAGCGTTAGTTTCCACAAGCATAAGCATCTATTTTAAACTAACAAACAAAATAAAAATAGCCATGAATTTATAAACAAGCGTAGTAACAATAAATTATTCATTGGTCTAGGATTTCGATTTTTTATTACTAAGAGAAGAATATATACTTTAAGTTAGATGAACAGTGGTATAATTGACGATGTATAAATGATAAATACTGGACACTGATAATGCTTATTGTTCTTTTGCATGTAAATATTTATATAAATTATTTGAGTGAACGATTAATTACAGTAACAGGGTGAAAAACAAAAACATTGCCGCGTTAAAAAATAGTTGAGTTGTTTCGTTTTATGCTGCATAGTGTATTTTAATCTGTACCGATAATTAATTAAAAAAACGCTGTTTTTAACACTTTGATGCAGGAATTTTATTAAACAAATTTATCATACTTTTTTCATTATTTTGTATAAATTTTGCTCAAAATAAGTAAAACTATTATATTTAGCACTTAAATAATTTATGGTTGTGAAATACAGCAAGAAACAGCACTGTCTTTTTCTGCATTAAAAATAAAATCTTCCAAACAATGATTTTTCAAATTTGCGCTTATTTAGATCTAAGATAAACAGTTATTCTTCATTGAAATTTCTTTAGTTTACGAAATCAGGTATTGATAAAATTTTGAATCTGAATGAAAGAAAAAAATTTCAAACTACTTTTTTTATATTTTAGTACAAATATAATTTGCACTATCTAACAGATTTTTATAATAACTATTAAGACTGCTTTTAGAATTTAAAAAAAAAAAAAAATCTATTTTAGCTTGTACTTAAAGTGTCAGGAAAAAATATATATATAAGAATTCCATCTTCATCATTACCATTGTCCAAAATGATTTTTGCATACTTATTCAAAGGGAGGTATTAAAAATGTATTTTTGGTTATGATACGTTAAGAACTTTCATATGAAGCAACTTACCTGTGTTTCTGTAACATGCATGATAATAGCTAAATTTGTTAAATGGCTGCATTGGCACACTGTATGGCTTCGATTCGTGTATTTCAGCCAACACCCTTCAGTCGACCAACTCCTACAAATCACAAATTCAGTTAGTTTCATCAACGTATTGAAAATACATGAAATTAAAAATATTTTAACAATACAGTAATAATAAATGCAAATTTAGAGACGTATGACCATTGCTGTATTGACCTTCGGGTTTATCTTTTTTTTCTATTCGATGGACAGTTTCAAAACTTAAAACTTTAGATACTGGCATATAGCTCAAATAGAAATTGCAATTTAGCAATGTTTCTAACGACATGAATGTTCAAATCTATTTCAATGAATAAATTCACTGTACTTGTTCGGCCGCTAATTTACAATCCAACGGTCTTTAACGACTCGATCTTTTTTTTTTTTTTTTTTTTTTTTTTTTTTTTTTTTTNTTTTTTTTTTTGGTATGGAGGATTTCCTCTTGGCTGCAGTTGGTTGCAATTATAATGTAAGCTTTTACTTCTTTAAAATTTGCTAAATGAACTAAAAAAAAGTCAGAAATGATGGTTTTCTTTATTTAAAAAAATGCCAAACAAATAAGCTGGTCGTTAAAAGCCGCTGGATTTGAAAATCGATGTCGGCCCGTGGCAGAACAGTGTAGAAAGAATCAGACTCCGGTCCAGAGGAGGCGGGGTTCAATCTTCTACTCCTCAAGATCCACCTAATAATACATAAGATATACGAGCTCGTATAATCTGTGGAATTTAAAATCCTGTGTGTCGTTGTCGATCGCTGAGCAGTAAGTACCCTGGGTACAGAAATCAGGAAAAAATTACCTTCTCCTTCAGATCTATATCTAAATTGAAGAAAAGGGATCACGAATGAGTGGTGCTATCATCTATCTGGGGAAACTTTTTCCTTTGCGGTGCTCTCTTGTCAAACGAAAGGCGCACTTCGATGTTATTTGAAAAAATTGAGACGCTCTTAGTGCTCCCAATTTTTCTTAACAATAATGCATCACAAATGTATCTTAACGTATCTCACTATTAAATTGAAAGACATTTTAAAATTAAATGGAGTCATAAATAGCCCTTGGTATGAAAAAGCTAACAAAAAAGTAATATCAGATACATATGAAAATTACTTTTATTTGAGGCATTTTAAATTTAGTTATAACCTTTGTACTAGCAAGGTTTGATACTATAAGATGGCATGCAGTAGATAATACGATTGTGAAGTAAACGAATTAGAAACTGAATAACACACATGCTATAGAATCGGCAATACAGCGTGATTCGGCAATAGGCATAGAATCGGCAATACGATATTACGAACGAATTCGATATCGTGGTGTAAATTAAATAAATAAATTGAGAGGCAGTTACTGAGATGCCCTGGGAATCATGCGACCTGAAAAAAGCATATCCGTCAGACCTAAATGTTTTTGAAAACATCAAGAAAAAAAAATTAAGAAAAAAAAACTTATTTCATATTATAAGTTATATTTCTTCAAATGCTGTATTTTATTTTACTATTTCAGTAAATATTGACTTAAAATTATTAAGTCCAAGAGAGATAGCTATTATAATTTTGAAAAGTATTAAAACTACAATTTATGCCACATTTCATATTTTTCACGTGATTGATGATTGATTATGAGATCAAAATTAGGAAATTATCCTAACATTTCGCTTCACTATACATATTTTTTTCTTTTAAGCAATGACATTTTTCAAATGCATTGAAAATCCTTATGATTCTAAAAATTTATTTTTATTTGCTTATAGAAATAGTTTACATTCTTTGAGTTTCGCTGTCGTTTTTCGAATAAATCCCATTTATTTGAAATACAAAGAATCTGGAATTGACAAGAAGTTACGCTAAAATAATATTTTGACTTTCTCGAAAATCGGAATGATTTTGGCGCTTTTGGAGTGGTTTTTCCCCCGAAATTCCCTTTGATTATTGACATTTTCATAAAAAGAAAAAAGGAATTTCCCTTCGAAAATATGCATAATTCAATAAAAATAGGCAAAGAGCATTGAAAAAAATTCCATGGATTCAAAATCCAAATCACGTATTACTTTGACATTCGCCTCAGAGAAATTGAGTGTTTTCATCGAAACTGCGAAGGTTTCTCCTCTGTTGTTTTCTGAAAGTTAACTGTAACTTTTTTCTCACATCATTTGACTAGCTGTCAGGAACATATCAATAACCGTGATGCGTCGTCATGCTTTGTGAAATGCAACATTGTAGTTTTAGAGGGTCATTTTTTCCCACAGGGGTAGAGTGGATACATGTTTTGTGTTAAGATCATAAAATATTAAAAAGTAAGCTTGCGTGTTATAATTAATATTGGAGATTAATATTGAAAATACAGTCGAAATAATTGATAAGAGTATTTATAATTTGCTCATTAACTAGAATCGGCAGAAATTAGCAAACATCAAACTATAATGATAAAAAACGAACTAGAGGGTGTGTGTATAAAAGCGACTTCAGTTTAAAAAAATTTTATATTTGCTAATTAAAATAACGTCTGAGGATTTCTTTTTATTTTTATGAATGAACTTCAGCAATTTTTAGTTCGACGTAAAACACGTTTGGCACGTCACGGATAACCACTAAACCAATCATCTTGATTTCATACCTTCTAAGGAGATGATCGGTAGTACAGTATAGCTTCATTTATGCGTTTTTCAGTAATGCGTCTTTTTTATTTATACGTCTTTTTCGAGCCGTGGATGCTTAGGGTATAGAGCACTCGGCTTCCAATGAGGTGAACCGGGTTCGAATCCCAGCGATGGCTGGCCGATACGAATTCCCCACCCGGTTCGCCGACCTCAGTGGTAGACGGATCATGGGTTAGAGTCCCCTTGCCGCCAGGCTAACGTAGAAGGTTTTCGTGATTTCCCTCTCCATGTATCGCAAATGCGGGTTTGTTCCATCAAGAAGTTGTCCACGAAGGCAAATTTCTCCCACTGTTTGATCCAGGAGTTTCCTTGCCTTCTGGATTGGGTTTAAAATTACAAGGCTATGGAGTTGACGTTAGTAGTCGTAAACCCAAAAATTGGGTCAGCTGTTCAACGACGGTTATAAAATTATAAAATATACTTCTTTTTCATTTATACATCTCTTTTATTTATACATCTTTTTCATTCATTTCGTCGTTTCATAGCAGTCCCAGTACATTCTTAATCTATTCAATGTTAAAATATTTCGTTCATACGACGACAAAAAAAAAAAAAAAAAAAAAAAAAAAAAAAACTTGCATTTCTACTTTTATGGAAATAATTGTATACATTTCATATACTTAATATAGGAAATAAAGGAATGTTAAGATTTCCCCCCCCCCTTTCTGTAATGAATGGTTTGTTTACGAAGTACTTCTACACTTTTCTCTACCAATAATTTCAAATGCCAAATTAACGTAATCAAAACTATATTTTTAACGATCGATTTCTATTAGCAACACCTTTTGATGGTTATTGCAGTTGCACAATTCCTTTCAAGATGTTTTTATGTATTACTTTTTTTAAGATATATTTATTACGACATTTTAATGCTTACTTGACATCGTTTTCATATATTGCTTATAAACATACGATTTTTTATAATTTTGAACAGAAAGAATTTGATTTAAATCCTTCAGAATTTTTAAACTCAGTCAAAATCTTTTTTTTTTTTTTTTTTTTTTTTTTTTTTTTTTTTTTTTTTTTTTTTTTTTTTTTNTTTTTTTTTTTTTTTGGTGACTCCAATTAAATAAGTTTTAAGAAGTTCATAAAAAAATTCCTCGTTAAAGCGATCGTAATAACCGGGTTTCATAAAAGTTCTTTTTAACTTTAAACCGACCATTCATTAAAAATTCTCTACTTAAACTTGGGATATCGCTAAATCAGGGCCTGTAATAAACGAGCTCGACAGTATTAGGTTTGGCGTAATAAATAACTTCCGTATTGAAAGTTTTGTTAAAAAAAAAAAAACAGCAGCACATGTAAATTAAGTTTAAACATAATTCATAAATTCAAATTTATAACTTGAACGCTCTTTACACAAAAAGTCTTATTAGATTTCATTAACTTACAGGCTTCGTAGTAAGCCAGAGAAAAACTCTGGCCAAAATCACGAATTTTTTTTTCTTTCTTTTTTTTGAACTGTATACATATATCAGATTACTTTTGCAAACGGTAAACTAAAAAATTTATAAAATGCTCTACTTAAGTGTAATAAAAGGAAATTTTATTACAAAAGAATTATAAAATATACATTTCGTAATTTTAAAAATACTTTATTTGTTGGATGATTCCTCAATTCGTAATTTAAAAATTTTATGATATGATAATAGCAAATTGAAATCGATAATTTTTAAAATCTCATGAAAGAGACGAATCAATAATTACGCAACTACAAAACTCCGCACTACAAGATTTGTTACTGCATTAGCTTAAAATAATAAATCAGCGTATGACACTTGAATTCATCACCATAAAAATTTGATGAAATAAAATTATTGTGCAATAAAATAGCGTAATTTCCATAAAGTTTCAAACAATGAAACCTGTGATTCAGGCTATATACCTGAATGTAATTAGTAGACAGTCCGTAAATTGTAACTATCGAATTTTGCGATTTCTACTAGCATTGTTAATTAAAACAAATGGATGTTGAATTAGGAATCCAATTCTTTTGATTCTTCTAATGTATTTTTTTTTTTAAATCCGCTATTGCTTAGAAACTGAGATATTCTGAACACAGCCAAAAATCAAGAATATCAGGACAAGAAGCTTAAAATCAGGACGAATAAGGAGACAATATTTTTATCAGGAACGTTAGGACAACTACGAACTCCGTTTATACTTATTAGATTAAATTACACAAAGATTTGAAGAAAAAATTTTAATTTGATATAAGTACGTTTAATTTTATTAAATAGGTAGAATTTAAGTTACTTTAACGCCTGTATCGTTTTATTTGTCCTTTAGATAAATTTGAATATTAGCTTAAGCTGATTATTTAACATATTATTTATTAAAATATGTTGTTTAATTTAATACTAAAGGGAATTTTTTTTAAATCTGATATTCACCTGATTCAGTAAGAAGATTAATTCGCTTAGAAATTCTATGAAATGAAAGTTCGTTTTGAAACGACTATTTGTACGAAATTGAAAAATAATAGTTAATTCACTGATATAAAAAATTTAAACACATACTGATTGTACGCAAATAGCACATCTCTTAATCCTCTTACCGAAATTAAATTTTAACTGTAACAAACTAAGTAATTACTAAAAAATTGACAAACATTAATTTTTAATGCTTGTTATAAGAAAACGGTATTAGTAATTAAAAATTGAATAATTCTTTTTCATACGTAGCTTAATAATTATTACAATTAAAAATACATAATAACGACAAATCGTTTTCTGCAAAAAGGACATTCATTATAGGATTCAGAAAAATAACGTTATCAGACTTGCACCATTTCACCTTTTATTACAGTCAATAACGATTTCCTCACAAAATCTTACCGGAAATAATGCAATTAGTTAATCTCGTTTTTTACGAATTCCGTTCATTTGCGAATCTATACCTGAATTAGATTGAATCCTAAATTAAGATCCTTTCATTTCATAGCATATTTCGGAAATAAATAAATAAAAAGACAAAACAATTTTCTCATTAACATACTTATCTTTATCCCCTTATAATCATATTTGCAAATAAATTTATTAGTAATATTTCAGAAAATTGTCGCATACATGTTATAAGAATTAAATAAGACGGGGAAAAAAGTTTAAATAATTTGTTCTAAGACAATTAGAGGGGAAAAAATTATTGTAGCATCGTTTCCAAAATACTTATCTGAATTAATCGTTTAATGAGTTAGACGAAATAGCTGTACTAGTGGCTCTTAAGAATAAAAGTGATTTAAGAAAGAGATCGTGACCCCACTTGGTCAAAAGAGATCTTATTTTTAATTTATGAAATATACACATATTTTATTATAATAGCTTAATATACACACATTTCAGATGCATCGCAAAAAATGAAATTAAAAAAATATGAACCCGATAAAAGTTAGGGGGAAAAAAACATTAGCTTTCTTTTTAATTTTATTTTATAACCGTCGTTGAACAGTTGACCCGATTTTCAGTTTACAACTACCAATGTTCAACTTGTAATTTTGAACCCAATTCATAGAACAAGGAAACTCCTGAATGTAGTATTGGGAGAAATTTTGTCACCGTTGAGGACTATTTGAAGGAACTAACCCGTATTTGCGTTACATAAAGCGGAAAACCACGAAAATATCCCTCGGTAAATCTGACAGCAAGGGGACTCTAACCCATGATCCGTCTACCACTGAGAATATTTTACGTCAGCACTATAGTCGATGCGAACCGAGTACAGAATTTGTATCGACCAGCCATCACCGGAATCGAACCTGGATCACCTCATTAGGGGGCTATCCCCATAACCACCACGGCTTACCTTTATCAACTTGTAATGAATGATTATCATAGTCGATCAGAGTAAAGTAAGGATAAAAATTCTCAAAAACCTGATTATTTAATTATGAAGCTGAAAGGCAATGTAACCTGACAGATGGTTTCCTTTTTTTTAAATCGCTTTTGACAATAATTCGTCTGACTTTGATAGTTTTTAAAAAAATTGCAACCTCCTAGTGTATTATCTTATCACTTCTTTTAAGACGATTTTAAAATGGTGTCTGTTTGTGCTATAACATATATGTACGGTCTCAGAATTTATATAAAAAAAATATAATTAAAAAGAAAAGTTCTAGTAAAGGTGTATTTAAATGGTGTATGCATTAAATCAATTTTCCAAAAATATCAAATCCTAAATAATTAAGTATTTGTTTAAAATTCTTAATGGATGTAAGTAACAAATATTTTTAGTTTTATACTATATTGCTAACAATAAGCGAAACCAAATGATCGTTTTATTTTATGTAATAATTACACTGCTCATTGTAAACTGACAATAAAATCGAACATAATAGTTCCTAAAAAATATAGTTAATAAATTAAATAAATCAAATAATATTAACAAATAATAAGCATACTAACAATTTTTAAACTAAGCTTACCTTGTTTGATAATCCCAAAACACGCACAATGGATTGGATACATTTTCAATCTAGAAAAGAACAAGGTCAAAAATTTAAAAAAAAAGTTCATTAAACTACAACTTAAATACATAAATTAAACTTTAAGCAATACGTGTAATAAAAATTATAATATGAAAATAATGGAAACTAGAATGTGATAAACTTTTTAACGACAGATATAATTCAAAACTTTAGTAAAACTAAATAAATAAAATTAAAAAAAAAAAACAATCTATCACAAAACACTAATCAAGTAACACTCCATTTACTAACTGTTGCCAACAAAAGGTTGAAAAATTTAATTCTCAGTAGAATAAAGCCATCGTTTTCTTAAATCCAGCAAACGACAATAACTTTTCCAAATAAAAATGGCGGAAAGAAGAAGAAGAAAAAAAGATTCATTTTTTTTAATGACATGAGCTGAAAGATTAACTTCAAATCTCCGACTCATTGATGTCTGTAGGAGTGAAATAATTTTTACCGCCACTCTTTCTCCGTCGGCCCCTACAGGGCCATTTCTGTCACCTCGTATATCAAAAACTGAACAGTTATTACAGTTTTTTTTTTTCGTCTGCCACCCCTTAACACCTCTCGTCTTTTATTATTATTTTTTTTATTTCGTAGTCTTTATTCTTCATCCGTACATTTTTACAGCTATAAAAATTGAAGAAAAAAAAAGTTGAAAAAAGTTTTTTAAGATTTAAAAACAGAGCTGTTGACCATTACAATTCGTAAGCCAGTTAATACTTCTTTTTTTTTCTAATAATAATTCTTCCACCCAGCTGAGCAAAGAAATTCGATAAGTTCTAGAAGTTCGCAGAATAGAATCGCCCCCCCCCCCTCTGATGCCCAGATTTAAACAATGGCAATAAAATAAGCTACAATGTAAACAAGAAAAGAAGAAACTTCGAAGTTTTTAAACGAACGCTTATATTTATTTTAATAACTTAAATTTCCAAATATTTTAATTTGCTAATTTACACACAAGGAGCAATAGAATTTTTCAAAATTTTAAGGAACAATACCTATTTATTTATCAACAAAAGTTTGAACGCAATAAATTATGTTACACTGCAAACAATTGTAAATACTGCAAATAAATATGGTAAACAGAAACTTCCAAGTTTAAAAAACGAACTTTCACGACAATTTTTTTACAATCTCCAATGCCAACTTAATCACAAACTATGAAAAGAATTTTGCAAAATTTTCAAAAACAATAATTATTTATTTCTAAACATAAGTTTAAAATGATCGCACTGTATATAAATAAATAAATAAAAATATCAATCTAGTTTTCAAATGATAAATTTTCCGCATTTGTAAGAAAGATTCATAAATATGATAATTTGTTTTTAATACGATTCTGCAAAATATGACAAAATTGATTAGCATGTTTTGACCCAAAATTAAATGTAATTAATTATTCATTAAAAAATATAATTTCAAGTGTTTGAATTCCTTTTAAAATATTTTTGACACAATTCTTGTAAGAAATGCTAAAAATACAATCGTTTTTATTTAAGAAAGCAAGTGATATTTTTAGGCATAAAGATAATCCAGTTTTGATTCTTATAATAAAGCAAACTTTACAAAGCTATTTTTTCTGAAAGAAAATACTTTAACAAACTTTTTAACTATAATAATGTAAAAAAAATAATATTTTAAACACTATTACTGCTAAAAATGCAATTGTAGAGGTGTTTTCATTTAAGTAAAAAAGAAGATATTCTTATTCGTGAATATAACTATTTCTTACATTAAGCATACTTAACAAAATACAATTTTTTGAAAGTAAATAAAAGTCATTAATCGTATCATTATGTCTTTTTTTAAATTTTTTTCCTAAGTTCTAGTTTTTTGCTTTCCGGCTTTTAAAAATAATGGCGAAACTTCCTCGTAATCATTAATTTTTTTAAAAAAAAATGTATTGAATTTTTTTAAAAATATTTTTAACACAATTCTTGTTAGAAAGGCTAAAATTACAACCATAGAGTTATTTTTATTTAAGAAAACCAGACAATATTTTTATTTAAGAAAATCAGACGATATTTTTATTTAAGAAAACCAGACGATATTTTTATGCGTGAAGATAACCTCAACTCTAATTCTCACAATAAGGCATACTTTACAAAGCACGATTTTCAGAAAGAAAATAAAAAATTATAAATCGTATCACTGTCATTTTTTTCTCTTCTATTTTTTACCTAAATCCTAGTTTTTCCTTTTCGATTTCCGGTTTTGGAAAAGAAATGGCGAAACTCCAAGAAAATTTCTAGCGGAAAAGAAAAGAAGCACAAGAGAATATTGCGAAAAATGAAATGTAGTTAGCTGAATTACGTCGCTGACGATTTTCCTTTCTTTTTCTTCCTGGGGGATTTATAAGAATCGCTACAGCGATTTCTGTGAAATGTTAGACAGTAGAAACGAAGTTTTTCACCTGTAGAATTGAATGGGTAGGTCTTTTTTTTTTATATATATATCATATTTTTCTTCTGTTTTTAAAATTAATCCTGTAATTTATAGCTTTTCTTCCGACTTCCGTTTAAATGGGATTTTTTTTCTCCTTTTCTTTCTTCAATAAACCTCAGCTATTTTTTAAAACTTGAAAACGGTCTAAAAAATAAACTTTTAAAGTAAAGAACGCTAAGGGGCTATTTGATATAGCTGTAAGCCAACAGGAAATAAAAATACTTTAATGTAATTATGTCTATAATTTTTTAATTTAAAACAATCACCTTTCTTTATTGATTCGAAATAAAATGAAGCACGCATTGGTTAAAAAAAAAAAATATCAAATTTTGCGGATAAAAAAAAATATATATTGATTTAAGAAAAAATATCTTTTGCTGAATCATCCAAGCTTTGGAAAACCAAAAACTTTTAAAATAAATTTTTTTTTTAAATATATATATCAACGGCAAATTTGAAAGGGGTGATTTAACAACTTTGTTTTTCTCAATATTTTTTAAAAAAAGAAAGAAAAAAGTTTGTTTTATTATAAGTCAAGGTCTTTAAAAATAATAAAAAGCTTTTTTTTTTTAATTTAATTTCATTGTTGGCCAAAACAAAAAAGAAAAAAATTTCCCTCGGAAAAAGTTTTAACTATATGGGATATAAAAATAAAATCTAAGTCATATGGGAGGCTCCGAAATCACTACTCCTAAAAATCTATGTCAAAACTGAAGTCAAATAATATACTCGTGAGTAGTCGCAAATTCATATCCACGATCGAAAAATTTAAAAAACGCTATTAAACTCTACTAAATCATTAAAAAAGAAAGGTTAAAAATATCAAAATCGGTTTGGCTGCAGGGAAAAACAGATAGGGATTAAAAGAAGGTTATTTGAAATTACATCAGGCAGTCGACTTTAATTTGATGTTTTTCATATCAGCTAACTCAATAGAAATTAGATTTCAAATGAGATTCCATGTCTTTTCCTATAGCTAAAACATTCATTAGATACCCCTAATGTGTAAAAATTCCTTTTTTTTTTTTCATTTTTGGCAAAAGCTATAAAAAATAATGTTAAAAACAGGGTAAGCGTTAAAATATACTTAAAACTATATATTCTATGGGTTACAGGACACGTTGTATTCAAATCGATCAAATTTTTCTTAAGATAAAATCCAAAAAATAAAAATTAAATCCAGAATTTAACTCCACAATAGATAAATTTTATCCAGTCGATCTATTATATTTTAACAAAACAAAAATAATTTAAGATGACCTCAATTCCTCAAATGAAGAAAGACCTAAAGGTCAGAAAGAAAGGGGAAAACAACACAGAAACACAGCAAATTGTAAGCATGTTTCCATTTATTGCAAAAACTGATCGAACACAAACCTTGTTTCCATACACAAATATCCGATGAAAGATACCTGATACATTTTCGACCAAGCCAAATTGTTATAAAAGCGCAAGGACAGAGCAATTACCGACACTGGTAAAATGTACCAAGACAATGGTGGACATTGCCTTCTTAGAAACGAACTCCACGCCTGTTTTCTGTCACAGATTCTTTCCCCTCAACCCCCCATTCTCTTTTATCGTGGAGCAACTAAACCGATTAATCGATTTCTCTTTTTCATCGACATCGTAGAACGGTGATTATGTAACAGCGTGTAGCCCCCGTAAGATTGAGTGATAATTTGAATTCGATATTATCCAGGACTGGTACACCCCCTCACCATTTCTAAATGGTACAGGAAAATGAGTATTATAGAGGGAGTGTTATGGTGTGGGAAGGATATTGAATGGAAATGAGTTTTACTCCCGAAAATTCTTTTTGTTGAGTAGTAGGTTATCAATCAGAAATATCAATGTTATGTGTAATTGAATTGTAGAGCAATCAGCAGACAGAGAGAAATTTAGATTGGATGATATCGAACATTTTAAAATCACTTCGCGTTATTTTAAAGATGAATATCTTAAAAGACATGACTTAGAGATGAGTAGAAGGCAATAAATCATAAATGTTTAATCATTTTTTTTTTCAAATATTTAAGATGGAATCGTAAGGGGAAAAAATTTTACGACTCTATTTGATGAATAAATTTCGGGCAATCATTTATTCAATCACTCAACGAGCAGTGCAATAATTATTCCTATTTAATGAATCTTTCAGATATTTAAGATAAAATCAAAACAATAATCTTTCAAAAAAGGATTAATTGTTATGTGTCAGCTATTTGTGTTTTATTTTTAGAAAAACACATTGTTTTTTTATTGTTTTTTTTTCAATTTATTAAACATTTAAAAAGGAATTGCAAGAAATTTATTAACACTTGATTCCGGCGGTATCCTACATATAATTAAAAGTATAAATTTAATTTTGAAAATTTTGGACAATTATTTATTCAATAGTTCACCAAGAAACACGGTCAAATTAATCGGATTTTTAATCGATTGTATTTTAAAAATTTAGGATAATTTAAAGCTTAACAAGAAATAAGGGCAAATTATTACAATTTTTAATCCATTCTTTACATGTTTTGAGTGATATCTCAAGAAAATGGTATTTATT